CGAGTTATCGTTGCACACACGGGTATCTGAGTCGAGACTTTATCAGAAATACGACTACCTGCCGACAGTCTTCCAGCGTTCTTCTCATTTTCTTCTTCCGTCGTTCTCTTATTTTTACAAATAACGAGCGTGAAAGGAGATAATTTCGATTAGTCCGAATAAGCGATGCGCGATTCACCGTACACGAGAGTAAAATTGGACTTTTTTCCAGTGCTTATTGTCGCGGAAATATGACGTAAAACGGTCGTTCTCTGTTCAGAAGGAAAGGAAAGGAAGAAAGTTGGGGAGACATACATCGGGGGAAGCAGGACACGGAGTTGGATGCGCGTATAGAAAGCTGAGAAATCGTAGAAGTATTCGCCAGAGAGAGCTGCAAGATGATGGATCGAGGGCGGGAACCGACACAGGAACCGGAACCCATTACTCCAGATAACAACTTCCCTAAGGCTTCCTTTCCTTCTTCAACATCCACTGGTAAACCTCCCTATATATACACAACTGTAGCACACCCGATCCTTGCAGCACGAATCCGGAAATTTGCCACTTCTGTTGCCATTTTCCTCAAATACCAGCCATGCAACTGGTGGTCCCACGATATACATAAACGCAAACGATGTGGTCCTCGAACGTTCGTGTTCCTCGCGAAAATTAACCACTGAATCGACTATATTTTCGATGTCTCGGCTATTCGCGTCGTTATTTTAACGAATGTTCACTGATAATTGGACTATGGATGCTTCACGCACTTAAAATATATCGAAATATGCAAATAACACGTATGGTGTACGATCCTATAGTATGTAAACATATGCGGTTCACGTTTATTGATTAATATTATTTACAATTTAAATTACGATAAACAATAACCATTTCATTAGTATTGAATAATAATTAATACTAATAATTCAGAAAGGAAAATCGAATTTTAAAAATTATACTCTTCAGTATATGCATATACATTCGAAAAGATATATGCAAAAATACGTGAAATAAAAGTATTTTTGATGTTTATTAACTGTAAGATAAATTTTCATTTCGATTTTATTTTTCCACCTGTTTTCCATAAATATATGCATTCGTATAAATATCCGCAGTCCAATAATGTTACTCTTAGAATAGCGAAGCTAACTGGTGTTAAAAACGTGTGTTCAACAAACTGACTGATCAAGACTATCTCAGACCTGACGTATGCGAACTATATATATTTTATTTTAGCATAAGAAATATCACTGAGCTTATTAAAACATAAGGGAAGCTTCGAATTCCTATTTCGTCATAGCGAAGAAATCTTCGAGTGCAAAAGGTTAACATTAACACAGCGAGAGTGTTTTACTAGTCAATTGATATATGAACCGTTTATTTTGAAAATAGTGTAAGTCCATTTATGTTCGAATCGAGATATTGAAGGATTTGCGTTGGATTAAATTTAAAAATATGACTAACAGATAACATAATAGAATAATATTTTTGGGTTTCTAAAAAAGGTGTCAAATTTATCATCCCAATTAGCATAATTAACATTATTTAAAGAATAATGTTTTTGATGACTATGAATGAACTACGCCACTTTCAAAATAAACGGCTCATATATATTTCTAATTATTAATTAATTAGATATATAGTATCATACTTATATATATAATTAATTAGATATATAGTACATATTATTAATTAATTATATATATATATTAATCTCATCCCTTAGACCCAGAAATGGACTTGGTTGTGTACACAATTTTTACACATTCATATCCTCCATACCTTATACATACCTTGGTTATCTAATAAATTAAAATAGGGTAAAACGAAAAGCGTAATGTCAGTATATTAGTAATGTTAATATGGTAATTGATTTATATCCTCCTATTGCACATAAAAATTTGTAAAATATTATCTTCCCTCATTTTCTTCTAATCTTATTAACCCTTTGCACTCGACGATCTTTTCGTTACAGAAATATAGTAATTCGAAGACCTTCTGCCATAAAGTCGACGATATTTCCAAAACGGTAAATAAGAAGTGCAAATCAATTGTAAGACGTAGAATTATTTCACCTCGATATTCCACGCGTCGTTTGACAATTTTAAATTCGAGATATTAACAATGATCTTTAGAATCTGATTAAATGGCGACTGGAAGACGTCTTTCGAGTGCAAAGGGTTAACTTCCAAATTATTTCTTTCTATCCATCCATCCATCAGTATACTGTCATCTTTCTCTCTTTTCTTTGTATTCGCTTTTCTACTTCCTTTGAACATTTGCCAACCCCTCCACACACCCTCCCTTCTACCATCTGCTCTTCACTATACACGCATCTCTCCATTGTATGCGAACTATATATTTATTTCTCGTTTATTTCTCAATCGTCCAAGTATTCCGACAGTAAACTTCGACCTGCAGTAAATTCAAAAACCGCAAGATGGCGATTGGACCTACGTAATAAATTAATTTTAAACCTTCCGCGAGCCATGCAGAAGACGCGGAGACAGAAGAATACACGAAGTAGAAAAAGCGAAGAGAATAGCCGATGAAGGGTAAGAAGACGGTTGCGGAATCTCCGAGATATTAAAATTTATCGGTGTTTCGAAAAGCGTTGGATAACCTAGCGAGGGGATCAGCGATATGGCGCTTTATGCAAGGCAATTGAATGGCGCTGACGGACACGCGAAGCGTGAAGAGATGCAGGTTGGAATGGAAATAAGCGTCGCGGTGGTAGGGAAACCACCGACGTCACCGCCGTTACTAAATGGGCTCCGAGCGGGTTACCCAACTGTTGCGCCTTCATCAGAAATTTATGCAGAATCCTGGGTTAACCGTCCTGGCCAATCAGCTTTGTAACGGAGCTAACGTCGTATCAGCGAAGGAACGAAACCCAGGATGGCTCTGATTTAGTAAAAAGCCTTTAATATTTTGCACCCCAGCTGTACCTCGCGCACACTCGCTGCTTTCAGCCGCGAGGCCAGGGCTTAACGCGTTTCCGATCGAACGGGTTAGGCACGAATAGGCACCTAAGGAGATTTCTGGGTAAACCGATAATCTTTCCTTCTGAGAATTTTATGCGGGGTGTTAGAAACGGAGTCTAGAATTTTAAGGCATCACTCTCGTCTCGAGATTTATTTTTTATTTCATCTCTTCAAAGTGTACGTATTTGTGAACCTAGCAGTGTACCATTCACACACTGCTGAGATTGTTTGAGAATGTAAGTACTGATTTTTTGAACGCGAAAATTTATCTTCCGATTGTCCTAAAATTATAAATACTAGTCCAGAATTATTATCTTTCGTTAATTTTCATGCTCCTTCAAGAAATTAAGAGACTTTCGAATCTTTATACCTGACCAGCATAACACTACACGACTTGAATCAGCAGACCCTATCAACAGAATATGCATTCTTGCAAACAATTTCTCATCAAACCTTCAATTTTTTGGCAGTAGTATCTCTTCGTTTAAAAACCAGATCTTAAATCTCTAAGCAAATTGTTTATATCGACAATATCGGCATTTGTACCATACTTAACCTATATTCTTTCTCTCTCTAACAAACTGATGTATTTTTAATTTTTTGTTTATACACTACTGGGTTCTACTACCTGTAAATTATTAAATAAATAAATAAATGAATAAATAAAAAAAGTTTTTATACGGTGTTCCACCTACAAATAATTCTGTGAAATCTTTTATTAACTCTTAGCGAACGGGGTGGTCTGAAGTTAACCATACCATGGAATCGAGTTGCTGCCACGATAGGTATTTCAAATTATCAGTGCATATTTCTGCTTAGTCGCCATTTTCGTTGATAGCACCCCAAGGTGTCAAATTTTAGACATAGTTTGCAAAGTGGTTAAAAAATTGCAAAAAGAAATCCCTAAATTCTGAAATATTTAAGTTTCCGCCATTTTGCCAATTTTCAATGGGAAACAGTTATAAAATAACTATTATATAACGGTAAACCTATCAAATAAAATTTGTTTCGTGTTCTCTGATTATTACTATGTCCGAATTAAATTTCATTAATGCACTGTTACCGGAAATGTTACTAAAAAAAGTTACTAGTCTATGGCTGGTAATCTACTTCTATGAAATCTTTTATTTAACCCTTTGCGAACGGGGTGGTCTGAAGTTAACCGTACCATGGAATCGAGTTGCTGCCACGATAGGTATTTCAAATTATCAGTGCATATTTCTGCTTAGTCGCCATTTTCGTTGATAGCACCCCAAGGTGTCAAATTTTAGACATAGTTTGCAAAGTGGTTAAAAAATTGCAAAAAGAAATCCCTAAATTCTGAAATATTTAAGTTTCCGCCATTTTGCCAATTTTCAATGGGAAATAGTTACAAAATAACTATTATATAACGGTAAACCTATCAAATAAAATTTGTTTCGTGTTCTCTGATTATTACTATGTCCGAATTAAATTTCATTAATGCACTGTTACCAGAAATGTTACTAAAAAAAGTCACTAGTCTATGGCTGGTAATCTACTTCTGTGAAATCTTTTATTTAACCCTTTGCGAACGGGGTGGTCTGAAGTTAACCGTACCATGGAATCGAGTTGCTGCCACGATAGGTATTTCAAATTATCAGTGCATATTTCTGCTTAGTCGCCATTTTCGTTGATAGCACCCCAAGGTGTCAAATTTTAGACATAGTTTGCAAAGTGGTTAAAAAATTGCAAAAAGAAATCCCTAAATTCTGAAATATTTAAGTTTCCGCCATTTTGCCAATTTTCAATGGGAAACAGTTATAAAATAACTATTATATAACGGTAAACCTATCAAATAAAATTTGTTTCGTGTTCTCTGATTATTACTATGTCCGAATTAAATTTCATTAATGCACTGTTACCGGAAATGTTACTAAAAAAAGTTACTAGTCTATGGCTGGTAATCTACTTCGTTCTGAGCTACAGCGAAGCATCCTGATCCAAATAATCGTCGACACGTGTGTAAGCTGAAACGGCTTTGGTGTCAACAGAATCAAAGAGCAAGATGAAACTTACCAACAAGCGCCAGGAGCACCGTGAGCAGAGATGCAGCAGGAAACGTTATCATTAAGTTGAACTCCAACATTTGAAGCAGATCCACTGAAACAAAGGGAAAAGAAGTATATTTCAAGTGAAAAATAGACAGAAATGCTCGTACAGGCAGCAGTTATTCGACTCATTGGAATTTTCGGAGCTGACGGAGATAGGGGCGGCAGGGGGTAGGAAGAAAGGAGAAAAATGATGAAAGCGTTTAAAGAATTCATAAAATATGTACTTTATATTCCGTGCTGTAAATGCGTGACGACACGATATTGTATCGGGATCGTTATGCTCAACGACGAACGGTTCGAATTTAATATTTATCAGATACTCTGTGACGAAAAGTTCTCGAGTGAGAGGTTATTACACAAGTTGAGGGCCGTGAAGAAATCGTGTCGCGTTCGACGAGTCGGTTCAAAGCTCAATAAGAATTAATTTCAAAACTTCTTGGATCTCGATTTAAGTTCTCGCAAACTTTCGATCGGTGTCCTGAGACGAGAAACAAGATTTCGTTTTCCTACACCCGATCCATATGCAATCTAACATTAATTTATTCCGTTCGCTTCTTCTATTTATTTATTTATTCCGTTTTATTTCATCATGACTCTACTTAATAGGCTAGTATTTGGAATAGAGAGAGTAGCTAAGGGTAGGTCGAACGACGAGATAATAAACAGAAAATTGAAACAGAGTTAGAAAAAGCTATGTAAATACGAATAGACCAAACTTAGGTAAAGTCAGTTTGGTGTTATCCTGTTGCTTTCTGGAAAAGTGGCTTAAGCAGTATCTAGTAATATCGTAATTTATAACTTGTAGTTCTTAATATTAAGTCCAAGCTTAATATTAGTAACATGACAAATGGTGGATATGGTGGTGAGGATGGTAGCAGAATTAACAAGATTTGTAAGACCAAGTCCCTTTTTTCTGGCAGCAGAGGCTGAAAATAAAGCTTATATAATGTTTGTCAATTTATTGTAAAATTACGAATCACATTTTAGAATTAGATCAAATCATTCGGCAAAACAGCGACGTATTAGATATGTTTTGCATGCATACGTTATTTATTTTGGCGTGGACTTTGCACATTTTTGAAGGTACATATGATTCTCCTAGACTTTCAATTAGGTTTCTTGGAACTTGGAGAATGATTACTATGTGCATAAAGCAGAAGAATATTCTTATAATTTGGATATTTCATAGGCAAGGGATGTCCATTACCAATATTCCATGATCTAACAAAACTATAGTATCTTCCCTATTTTTACGAATCTCGTTTCAATATTTTATCCTAATTCGATATTAAAATCCGAAACGTTAAGAGAATATCAAAAATGCGACTTTTGCAATTTGTCACAGTATTAGGACTATCAAACAAGCCTAAATGACTTGATTCAGATTTCTTATTTTTATCAGCCTTCGGTGATGTACAGATAATTTTTGCAAAATTAACGCGAATTCGTGTCTATTTATTTTCACCATTTACACCATTTTAATGATTCTCGTCTATGAATTTTATATTCAGAATGTGTTCTCCCCATTGGAGTGACAGAGCGGAAAAAATTAGTCGAATCCTCGAGTCGACAGTAGCGAAACTGCACGCTGAACGTTTAATTATTCAAAAATAACTTTCACAAAGGTGCTCTTCTTCTGCAAGCTCTTCTTGGCTAAAGTGTAGCAACGTAATTAAGAAGTTCAGCTATTCCCAAACGACGACACGTGTCGCCGCGTCTTCTTTATAATGAACCAGAGTATCGTCGCTTACAAATTTCCGTCACAACCTCGGTGTTTCGATTTAATGAATTTTAGATTTCAAGATATCACCCACTAAAACCACTCCCGCTGCTTATTAAAACTCCCAAGTCCTCCGTCTTGCCCTATATAATCTAGACCCCACCTACTGGCTAGCGTATCAAAAAATTATTTTTTCACGCTGGTTAATGTCCCCGTTGCATCTTTTCCCTCATTTTCCTTTCTACTTTCTTCTTCCTCTTTTTAAAATTGTACCGAGATATAAAGAATAGAATATAAGGTGGACATATACGAAACAAGAGAAATTATAGGACAATGATTTATTTGGACGATGGTTTATTTTTCCAACTTCTTTCTCCTAAAAGAAAAATAGAAAAAATAATTTAACGACACGTGCTTAAAGCTAAGACTAAAACTACGGAAGTAATATTCAAGTATTCACACTACATATCTCAGATGGAACGATAGGAAGATAGAAATGAGGAAAGGTTCGAAGGAATGCAGGAAAACTGTAACAAGGATACCAGAATGTAAAAGAGGAAGGAACGAGAAAATATAATGAAAACAGACTGGAAAAACAGAAACAGGAGGCAAGAAAATAGAACGTCGTCGGTTCTAAAGCTGCTTAATTCATTGTTGACTAGCAATTTTACTCAGAATTTGTCTCATGTCACTGGCTATTATTTTGTAATTAAAAGTTGAAGTAAAACAATATAAATAATACATAAACAATATAAATAATATATATATAATATAAATATTGGTTCTAAAACTGCTTAACACGTTGTTGACTGACAATTTTGCTCAGAATTTACTTCATGTCACTGGCTATTATTTTATAATTAAAAGATGAAGTAAAACAATATAAATAATATATAAATAATATATATAATATAAATATTGGTTCTAAAATTGCTTAACACATTGTTGACTGGCAATTTTGCTCAGAATTTGTCTCATGTCACTGGCTACTATTTTGTAATTAAAAATGGAAGTAAAACAATATAAATAATATATAAATAATATAAATAATATATATAATATAAATATGTTTTTCTTTCTTTAACGAGTTAAACGCCTAGCTTATTTTGCTTGCTGCTCTGTTTAGACCCACTTGACAGTAGTAGAATAAAATTTTAGCATCATTTGGTAAAAAAGAAAGATAGTACGCATAAAATTAGCAGATACTGCACCGAATGTTATAATAAGAATTCGTTAATGTTAGATCTAAAGATGGCGGGAAATTTAATACGAAAAGTTGTCACCTTTTGTAATGACTATGAAAGATTCCACACCTTTGTTTATCTTGTTTTAATAAATTGTATTAATCTTTTCTTAAATATATTCTTCTCCTTAAATTATTAACTGAATAAAAATCTAGGCTGATTAAACGAAATATTCAGTATTACGATCAATACGTGTGATAGTAAATATTGTGAACCTAAAATCTACGACCGGTCCCAGAGGTCCGAATGGGCATAAACGGAAAGTCTAACGTCTTTTTATTCTTTAATAAATCTTTTTGCAACAAAAGGGACACAATTTGACAGGTTTTATTAGCGAAAGACACAGCTTGTGGTATACTAATCAACAACTATTCTCTATGTTCTTAAATGCTCTCATCACGAGTTTAATCGTGACCGGTCAACAACTATTTGGCATGAAGACAAGAGTTAACTCGTGACCAGGCAACAATGTGTTAACATTTTAACTGCCACGTACTTTTTATATGGAACACTCAGGGTGCCACGATAAAATTTCCATTATTCTTACGATATAATCAATTATCAAACAATATGGGAAAACAAAAATGGTGCCAATTATTGTCTTCTATTCAAAGTTCCCTATTTATTTATGTTCTTCAAATATTTAAAAATTAGCTAGAATAAAAGAAATATAAATTTAAAAAATTAGTATCACCGGACACTGGTGACCACCATGGCGTCACTGAAGAGACAAGCGCCTGTCACTGGTGACCACCATAGCAGTCAACGAGTTAATATATTCGGAACTTTGGCAGAAAAGGACGGTATCGTTAATTACAACGTTTCCCTATGCAAATTTGTATTTCAAAAGGACTCCTATTTCGTCTAAAATTATAATTTTCCATCCTCTTTCGGTGCTTCGTTTCATTTAAAAAATTGTATTACCAAGTCTCTGTATGGATCAACAGCTTATCAGAGGATAAGCATCGTGGTTAGCTATCGATCTACGAGATACGAGTATTTAAAAGTTAAGTAACAAGATAACGTGTATGATGGAAGGAAAAAAGATAACGTTCGAAAGGCTGTATCGATAACGAAGCCAGTGTAATTGAGTTGACTCGTTGACTCATTTGACAATGACAAGGCAAAATTAGTCAGCGACTGAATAACTTGGAAACATACGAACGGAAAACACTACCAGGCCATTGAACTCGGGTCCATTTCCTATATGTGTCGATTATAACGCAACTGTTCTCAAATCGAACGAAAGTGAAGACGACTTCATTTTGGAATGACGAACCCTGGAATGGGGACATTTTAATGCACGATTGCCTCAAATTTGATCGATAGAGCACGAAAACGAGGATTGAATAACGC